GTGTGTGTGTGTGTGTGTGTGTGTGTGTGTGTGTGTGTGTGTGTGTGTGTAAGATGGCCAGGAGTGTCAGCAAAGGGCCCGATAGATGAAAGGTAGAAATATACTATGCTTGGCCAGGCACAGTGGTTTATGACTGTTATCCCAGCACTTTGGGAAGCTAAGGCAGGTGGAAGACTTGAGCCAGGAGTTCAAGACCAGTCTAGGCAACAAGGTGAAATCCTGTCTCTACAAAAAACATGAAAAACATCCTTCCCTCCCCACAAATCTGTAGCTGGGCATGGTGGCACATGCCTGTAGTCCCAGCTACTCAGGAAGCTGAAATGGGAGGTTCTTTTGAGCCCAGAAGGTCAAGGCTGCATTAAGCCAAGATATGTACCACTAAACTCCGGTCTGGGTGACAGAGTAAGACCCTGTCTCATAATAAAAAAAAAAAAAAAAGAAAGAAAGAAAGAAAAGAAATATACTATGCTTGCAAAAAAACAAAAAAACAAAAAACAAAAAAACAAACAAAAAAAAAACGCTTAATTCTCATGTTCAGAACCTTGAATTTCAAACATGTGCATCAGATCACCCACAGGAGCTCTTCCCAAAATCCCTCTCTCAGAACCCCTACCCCACCCCAAACCCCTTCAGTGACTGCTGGCAAGAGGGTCTTGGGGAATATGGTTCTCAGGCAGCCCTGGAGTGCTGTTCAGCACTGTCACCTGTGGTGGCCACTGGTGCTGTGGTTGGTTGCTCTGATTCCTCAGCAGAGATCATTGAGTGTCCTGAACTGTGTCTGTTAAGATACCTCAACTCGAGTGGCCGGCTCCCCCATATTTCCTCCTCCAACAGTAGCTGCAGTGCCAGGGTTGTGGATGGGACAGTCAAGCTAGGCAGGTGAGAGGAAAAGTAACCCTGCCAGAGATTGGGAAGGAGAAGCTCTAGACGCTCTGCTCTGACAAAGACATCCTTGCCGTTTGCTTTAGATGCTGGTGGCAAAGGGCCCACAGAACTGTGCCGGGGTGAGGCAGGTAGGGAACCCTTTCTCAGGTCATCACGGCATCTTAGACATTCTCTGTGAACATCCCACATGGAGGATTCGCTGTTGGCACTCTTACGTTCCCAACGGAGACAGCATTGGCTTTCTTCTCTGACAGTAATATTATCCCCTAGCCTCTGTAGAGGGCCCTCATGGGCCAGGTGCAAAACGCACGAGCAGTGTGCATGTTATCACTGTCTCCCACTTTACAAGTGAAAAAACGCAGGCTCAGAGAGATTAAGTAGCTGGCCCAGGGTCAGCAGCTCATCAGTGGTGGACTCAAACCCAGGCCTGTCAGAGTCGTGAGCGCCCCTCACTCCTCACAGCTCTTTTGTTTAGGATCCATGACTGCCTTTTAGGGACACATGTCCATTATGTTACCTAGCAGGAGTTGGCATTTGCCAGCCCACATTTTGTAATATTTTGTACAAAGTGCTTTCTCTATGTGCTTCCCACCACCAGATCCCCCTGCCTGGGGTATCCGCTCTTCCAGTGTATCCACATCGTCTGATTTTCCCAAGAGGCCAGGATTTTTTTTTTTTTTTTTTTTGGGACGGAGTTTCGCTCTTGTTACCCAGATTGGAGTGCAATGGCGCGATCTCGGCTCACCGCAACCTCCGCCTCCTGGGTTCAGGCAATTCTCCTGCTTCAGCCTCCTGAGTAGCTGGGATTACAGGCACACGCCACCATGCCCAGCTAATTTTTTTTCTTTTTTGTATTTTTAGTAGAGACGGGGTTTCACCGTGTTGACCAGGATGGTCTCGATCTCTTGACCTCGTGATCCACCTGCCTCGGCCTCCCAAAGTGCTGGGATTACAGGCTTGAGCCACCGCGCCCGGCCCGAGGCCAGGATTTTTAAAGGACAAAACTGTGTTTTCCTAAAAGGCCAACCTTCTAAAGTCTGGAAACCCAGAATTCCCTGTTACTGGCCGTCACCATTTCAGCTGAGGACCCCTGAGTTCAGTCTCTACATTCTGTAAATGAGGACGCTGAAGCCCCGAAAGGGAATAAGATGCTTTAACCGTAGTGAATAACATAAAGAACCACGATTAAACCCAGACCTTCACACTCCATGCTGGTGCCTTCCTTCGTTCCAGCCACTGCTCCCCCGCCCTATTCCTGCCTCCCTCCCTCCTCCACTCCCCTCTTCTCCCATCCAGCTCTCCACTGATGGCTCAGCCTCTCTCTATTCCTGCCTCTTTTTCTTCCTCTTCTCTGCTTATTTCCCTTTGTCGCACTCCCTTTCAGCCAGGACTGTCTCTCTACTGCTTGTTCGTTCACCCGTGCCACTGCCAGCCCTCATCTGCTGACATCTCCGAGAGAATGCATGGTGGAATAGGTGTAAGGAGTAGCCCCTGGGCAAAGCCTCCCAGGGACTGTTTGCTATGCCACCCATCAGAATAGTGCCCCTTCCACCCTGTCTTGGCCTTGGTCATTCCTGGACGTTCCTTAAGTATTCCAACTTAAGATGATCCCTGAATGCGCTTGCCTAGAGACCCTTAACCCTGCAGTCAAGAACCTTGCACTTTAAAGGTGTGTGTCACATCATTGTCGACCACCTCCAAATCTCCCTCCATTGAGATTTGAATCACGTGAATCCAAGTCATGGCCCTCCCAAGCAGCACACCCTTGGGCAAGCCAGCTCCCCACTTCGGGATTTTCTTGCCTCGTCTGTAAGATGTGCAAGGGTCCCTCCGACACCATCCCTCTGTGAGCAGATAAATGTTCTAGTGCCGGGTCAGAGCTGCTGGGGTGAGAGAGCGAGGGCCCAGCGGCTGTTGCTGCATGAGCTCCTGAGTGGCTACTCTTGTGGAATTGCTGCAGGTGGGGAGCTGGGGGGTGGGGCACTGGTCCTCTGCTCATCACGTTCTGAAAGAAACCTGATTCATCACTTCGCCAGGGATGCTCAGGTCCTGGAAGCTGACTCCACTAAACACTCTGACTGGCAACACAGGAGGCCTAATTATTATTAATATGGCTTATTAATCCTTATTAAGAAAGATAATTCATTCTGATGGCTGGCATGTTCTCTCTCCAGAGGGACATCAACATGAGAAATGAACTCTGTCAAAGACTGAGTGCCTTTGGTTGGGCAAAGGGAGAGGGCAGAGGTCATTTATGGCACCATCCCCAGAATTACAGAAACCAAGCTGTGGCATCCAGGGACAGGACACTTGAGCAGCTTAGGGATTTGAGGAGTCATTTCCCTTGGGAGCCCCCAGCCTTCCATTGCACTGTCCTCCTGCATGAGCTGTTGAGGGGACAGGCGGGTCAGCCGGGCCGCCACAAAGGGTACTGGATGCCTCCACCGGTCACGGTGTGATTGTGCCCCTCTACCCTGCCCCATCCACCTCTCCCATCCTCTTTCACCCCCTCCCAACTTTCAACGGCTTGGCACCTGTGAACTCTCCCTGGAGCCTGAGCCAAGGCTCCACTGGGAAGCCATTGAGGAATGAGCCATTTTTGTGCCAGTGACTTGGTCTTGCAAACTTGCTACAGCTTTCAAACTGACCTTGACCCGTTGTAAGGAAACCACTTGCAGGATGGAAAGCCCTCTCTCCTTCCCTTCTCCAGGCTGCCCCAGGAGCCACTCAGCAGGAGCTTTGAGAATCGGTCACTGTTCTCCAAAGAAAAGTGTGCAGACCCTGCCACCTTGTGGCTACCTCTGGTCCTACAGCAGTCCTCACCAAACCCAGGACAGAGATCTCTGCTCTCCCACCGCGGAGGGCACCTCGAGGAGAGTCTACTGCTAGGAAATGGACATTGGGAGTTAAGGGGGGCTACCCCAGGCTCTGATGTCTTTTCCTGTTTGTTTGACCACTGTCATGACCCGTGGAAGAAGCCCTGCCATTGGCTGAGATGGGCAGGTGGAGGCTAGGGCTAGGGAAGGGGCCGTACTCATGGGTGATACATGGGCTTCTCTGGTGGGTGGAGTGCCTTGGGCAGAAGATGCAGACTTGGTGGAGCCAGATCATCTGTCTCTAACCCTAGCCTGCCTCTCAGCCCAGGAGTCCCCGGAGCGTAAAAGGAGGGTTGAGGCCGGGCATGGGAATTATGCCTGTAATTCCAGCACTTTGGGAGGCCAAGCTGGGCAGACTAGCTTGACCAACATGGAGAAACCCTGTCTGTACTAAAAATACAAAACTAGCTGGGTGTGGCGGGGCATGCCTGTAATCCCAGCTACTCAGGAGGCTGAGGCAGGAGAATCACTTGAACCTGGGAAGCGGAGGTTGCAGTGAGCCCAGATTGCACCATTGCACTCCAGCCTGGGCAACAAGAGTGAAACTCCATCTCAAAAAAAAAAAAAAAACAAAGAGGGTCGTAACGAGGCGACTTCTTAGGCCTCTTCCAGCTCTGATATTGTCTCCAGGCAGGAAACAAGGAAGATCTCCTTACAGCACTGAGCACTTACAACTTAGAGTAGAGACCTTGTCACCACGGGCATGTGGAGTACCCTGGCCTCCCACCAGCCGTGTCCATGTGCCTCTTCACCTCCCAAGAGAGGCTTCTGGGTTCCACTGCACTTGCCCAGGAATCTGAGGCAAGGCACACATGTCAGCAGCCTAGGTGAGCAGGCACAGCTGCATCTGGTGAGCTGTCGGATCTGACTCCTCACTCAGGGAGTACGAATGGCACCCAGTGGCAGGCAGCATAGTCAGGGGTAGGTCAGTATGTGTTTCCCAGAATCCCACAGAGTCAAGCCCAGTTAGAAAGCACTGTGGCTGAGAGCACAGGTTCTGAAGCATCAAAGAGTCTGGAATAGCTCCAGATTCTGCTACTTACCAGCTGGATAACTTTAAGAATTTCTTCAACCTCTCTAAGCTTCACTTTTCTCACCTGTAAGATGGAGATGATGACATCTGCCTCTTAGGTCATTGAGAGGACTACTTGGCATGATGTTTGCAGAAACACTTTCATGGAGCCTGGCATGTCTATCAATGACAGTTGTGACCACTGTTTGTCATTCAGCTTCTGGAGCCAACACATGCATGCTCTAACAATGAAAATTACTGTGTAAACCATCCAAGACAGGATTCTTAGCTCGTCTTAGCCTACTCAGCCTGCTGTAACAAAATGCTGTAGTATTTTGAGTGGCTCAAATGACATACGTTTATTTTTCACAGTTCTGGAGGCTGGGAAGTCCAAGGTCAAGGCGCTGGCAGATTCGATGCCTGGTGAGGACCCCCCTTCCTCGTTCATAGACAGCTGTCTTCTCAATGCATCCTCACATGGTGGAAGGGGCAAGGGAGCTCTCCAATGTCTCTTTTATAAGGACTGTAATCCCATTCATGGGCTTTCGGACTTCATGGCCTCATCACCTCCCAAAGGCTCCACCTCTACCACTACCATTACATTGGAGATTAGGTTCAGCACATGAACTTCTAGGGACACAAAACTCCAGTTCTTAACACAGCAGATTCAGTTCCTGCTGAGGGCTTCCTTCCTTGCTTGCGGGCACCTCCTTCTTGCTGTGTGCTCACATGGCAGAGAGAGACAGACAGAGAGAGAGAATGAGAATGGACTATAGTTTCTCATCCTCTTCTTACACCTATAAGGACACTAATCCCAGTATGGGAGCCCCATCCTCAGGACCTCATCTAAATCTAATCACCTCCCAAAGGCCCACTGCCCAATGCCGTCACATTGGGGATCAGGTGTCAATGCATTGATTTTGAGAGGACACATTCAGTCCATAACAGCTCTTAGATATAAACCCTGAATTTCTCTTCTGTAAACCTGCACCCATTCCTTTTGCTTCTGTTGGTTTGTGTTTTGCAGTGATGTGAATGCCAGAAAAATCCTGCCCTCGCCTTGCCGTAGTCCACACAGCCAGAAACAGAGCAGCATCAGCACCCCCCTGGAAGACAGGTCTGTGACCTTCTGTTACGCCGGTGACAGCCCCTGCAGTGGGCGGAGTGGGCCTCCACCTCCAGTCTACTTTCTGAAGAAGCCCCTTGTCCAGTAGCCACACATACAGAGCCCAGGTCTGGTCTCTGCCCTGGCCGCCTGGGAATCCCCTGGAATCTCTCACACAGGCCATCAAAGCTGGGAGGTTTTCTCTCACAGTCACCAGGGCCCTATGTGGACAGAGTTGCTTCATATCTCCTTGTGAATAGAGGTACCTGGTGGCCAGAAAGGGAACGAGCCAGCCCAGGGCAGCCCTACCACAGAGCAGAACATGAAGCTGACAAGCTGGCCTCAAGGCTCAGCAGCATTTGCTTCCAGGCTTAGCAGAGTTGATCAGCACATGGGCGCTTGTATCCTCCGACTAGAATGGCTGCTCAACCTCCTTCACCAGCACAGCCACTGCCTTGCCTGCCTGGACACTGCTTTAGTGCTTCCAGCTGGCTGCAGTTGGAAAGCCAACACCCAAAACTACCTGTGGGAATGTCCAGTCCCTTGTCACATACCGTCCTCATTGCCTTCTAAGGAAATGGCTACGGCCTCCTGCTGTGCAGAGGCACAGGGCTGAGGATGGATGGAAGGCTGGCAAGGCCAGGCAAGTGTGCTGCTCTGAGTTTGCTGAAGGGGAATGCTATATGAAGAAGCTGAATTAAAAAGGGGATGGGAGGGCACAAGCAGCTCTCCCATTCTAAGGAGATTCCAACACAACATTTCTACTTACAAATCTCATTGGCCAGCACCTGGTCACCTGACCACATATCACGGCAAAGGAGGCTGGGAAAAGTAGTCTTTTTAGTTGTGGCAACTTAGCTAAATATGGTTCTGTTTTTAAGGAGAGACAGGAGAATAGTAATCTCTGCCTGGAGGGCAAGTAGCTAAGCCACATAGGGAATGGGGGTGCTGGGTGCTCTGAGGAGACTGTGAAGGATATGACATCTAAGCTGGGTGCAGAAGTTGATGGTCCCCAGGTCAAGGGGGGCTGGTTTGGGTAAATTGGGGTTGGGAGGACAGGAGGGATGGTGGTGAGGGGATGGAGAAGGCAGTGAGAGAAAGCGCAGCCACCATGGGACGGTTGGTGGAGACGGTAGTCCAGGGAGAAGCAGCATCAGAGCAAAGGCCCTGAGGCTGGAAGTGACTTGGTAAGTGCAAGTCACTGAAAGAGGAGGGGGCAGCTGGAGCTACTGACCCGGGGTCATATCACACACAGCCTGGTAGGTCATGGGACAGAGTCTGAGCTTTATTCCATGAGTGATGAAAAGCCACTAAAGAGTCTGTATTAGTCTGTTTTCACACTGCTGATAAATTGCCAGTCTGATACCCAAGGCTGGTAATTTATAAAGAAAAAGAGGTTTAATGGACTCACAGTTCACGTGGCTGGGGAGGCCTCACAATCATGGCGAAAGGCACATCTTACATGGCAGCAGGCAAGAGAGAATGAAAGCCAAGTGAAAGGGGAAACCTCTTAGGAAACCATCAGCTCTCATGAGACTTATTCAACCACCGAAACAGTATGGGGGAAACTGTCTCCACGATGTAATTACCTGCCACCAGGTCCCTCCCACAACACGTGGAAATTATGGGAGCTATAATTCAAGATGAGATCTGGGTGAGGACACAGCCACATCGTATCAGGGTCTATGGCAGGCAGTGCCTGACCCAATTTGCATGACAAGAGGTTTAGTGTGGCTGCCACACAGAGAAGGCAGGAGTGAGTGAGAAGCAGCCCAGCTGTGTCATGCAGCTTTCTGGGTGAGATCAGTCACCAGAAATCGGAAAGCATTTTGGAAAGGTAAGAGCTGGGTCCAGTTGTAAGGTGTAGTAAAATGTGACGTGTGGTTGCCCCCAGCATCCCTGAGAGGCCAGTGTTGTCCATCCCTCTCACCGGAGACAGCCAGACAGACTCGGACATCCTGGCCTTCATCAAGGCCAGACAGAGCATTCTGCAGAAGAAATGTAAGTGCACCTCCTTCGGTGGCTCCTTCAGGGCCGCAGGTCACCAACACTTGTGGGGAGCACACAGTGAGGTGGAAGGAAGCAGGGAGTTTCCTGAATGTTGCTGAAGCCACAGTACTGGCTACCAGTCACTCACATGTGCCCGGCCTCTGATTCCTTCTTGAGAAAGCCCCAGGGGGCAGCGTCAGAAAGACCAAGACAGGCCCAAGGCGGTGGGCGGCCCAGGCGCTCCTGCCCCTCTCGGAAGAGCTCGAGCGCTCTCTCTTTCTCTCTGTTCCAGATCTTCAGCTCCTTTGTTCTCTGTCCCCAAAGCCAGCTGTCTCCTCTGCTCAGCCTTCTACAAACAGGAAGGGGCTGAGTGATGGTTGGGTAACTTGCTGAACCCGTGGCTTAAAGTCTCACTTCCCTGTTAGAGTGTGTTCTTGCCCAAGAGCTGTGAGTGTAAACACCACTTGAAGGCCCAGACCTGAAGACGCCATAATAATCACAGAGGAGGTATGTGCGGTGTGTCAGACAGTAGGAAGAGAAGAAGGCCCTTCCCGGCCTCGTCACTGCCCCCACCCCGGCCCATCCTCTTGGCAGCTGCCCGTCTCCCGCCTGCTGTGGATGGGCCTTTTCTCTTTCTGCCTTCCATCCCTACACACCACAGGACAAGCCCCAGGGCCCCTTATGCAGGCCTGTGTTGTGTCTTAGCCTCTTCCCGATAGCCCAAAGGCTATTAGGCAGGCTTAACGTTGCCTCCACATTGCCAGAAAGGCGCCCCTCCATGGCGGTATGGTCCAGCAGATTGGATGTCTGTATAATGACTGATGCCTGCCCTCTGGGGCCTGCACTCAGCTTCTCCACCAACTGTGTGCTGTTTGGGCAGGAAGAGGCTTATGCATGGATGGAGTACTGCCACTGAGAGCCGTCCTTGGTCCTGCTGTCCTCGCTTCACTAGGCCACCAGCCTCTCACTGTCCTCTCTCCCCCACCAGGACTAAAAACTGTCAGGTCCTTTCTTAGGCTGGCGACAGCCCCGCTCTGCTGTGATAGCTTAACTCTCTCTCATCTCAGTTTCCTTGTCTAAACAAGAAAACTGGATTCGGTTATCTCCAGAGCCCCATCTATACCCCAAATACTCTGATGAAATGTATCAGGCACTGAACAGAAATGAACAGCTGATCAGTAAGCAAACACTGTATGCATTGGGTGCCTTCTTAGGCCAGGCACGACTACCGGTGCTTGGGCTGCAGCAGAGAGCAAGGCGTAGCCCAGCACGTGAGAAACTGACAGTCTGGGGAGAGGAAGGAGACAGACAATGAACACATCAACGAGTAAGGTCATGTGAGGGACTAATCAGTGCTATGAAATAGCTAAACTATGTAATGTAGACAGTAACTGGGAACACTGCTTTTAGCTGGGTAGGTGGGGGAGGCCTCTCTGGAGAAGAGAACTTTAAACTGGCAGCTGCATCATGAGAACAGAGCAGCCCCGCCACGTTCTGGGAATGCACAGTGCTAGCAGACAGAGCAGAAAGCAAAAAGCCTGAAGGGGAAGGAGCTTTGTTTGGCCACGGGGTGGGAAGGAGGCCAGAGTGGCTGGAGGGCAGGAAGCAAGAGCACAAAGGCCAGGTCACGCCAGCCTTATGCATAAGGGAACGAGATTTGGATTTTATCCTGGGTACGGTGAAAATGCACTGAAGAATTTTAACCATGGAGTGGTACGATGTGATTGGTGCTTTAAAAAGCTCACTTTGTCTGTCATATGTAGTGTAGAGTGCAGAGGCCAAGAGCAGACCAGTTACCAGGCTGCCATGAAAGTGCCAGCAAGGGGTGAGAATGGCCTGGACTCACCAGCAGACTGAATGTGAGACGCAAGAGGAAGAGGAGAGTCGGCGCGCCTGGGCTTTTGATCTGAGCAGCTAAGAGAATGGCAGCACCATTTACTGAAATGAGAAAGGCAGGGCGGCCTGGCTGTCAAAGGCAAGGAGCTGGAGGGATGGAGAGTTCTGGCTGCCCCATTTGAAGTTTCAGATGACATCTGACATCCAAGAGGAGGTGTTGAGTGGACAGCTGAGCGTGAGTGGAACTCAGAAAGTCTGAGCTAGAAAAAGAAATATGCAAGCCGTCACGTCTGGATGGTGTCTGAAGCCACAGGACGGAGTGCAGAGTCCTCTGAAGAGCAGAGATGGGGGTATTCCAGTTGCTGAGAACAGCCCCCTGGGGCTCTCCAACCGTTTCAGACAGAGAGAGGAATCTGAGACGCTAAGAAGGCACCACCAGGGCGCGAGAAGGACCAGCAGATGAGTGGGTATGGCCTCAGGCACAAGCTGGAGAACTGCAAGCTCCAAGGAGACACAGGCCAGTAGAGTCCAGTGCTGCTGAGAGGCTGTGTGGCAGGATGGAATGCTGACCACTGGCCACTTTGCATGTCAGGGTGGCCTTGGACAAGCGCCATTTAGGCAGGGGACGAAGTGGCCAGGAGGAGGATGGAAGGGAAAGAAGCTGAGGCAGTGAGCAGGCACAGCTCCTCCAGGGGGTTGAGCTGTGACAGGAGCAGAGAACTGGGGCTGGAGCTAAGGGAAACAGGAGCCCAAGGGATGCTTTGTGTGTTCTACAGGGGTCCTGTTAAGACATGCTCACGTGCTGAAACATACAAAGAGAGGGAAATTGATGCTGCGGTGGGAGAGGGGGGCAGAGCTGCAGGAAAAACTTCCTTGAGAAAGTAGGGGGGACGGTGCCGGGGCATAAGTGGAGGAGGGCTTAGATACGCAGGATATCCTTTGGAGCTAGGCTGTCCCTTTCCCCGTAACAAATCCAAAGAAACCAACCATCATTCCTCCCCTCAAAAACCTGCAAGCAAGCAATATCTTTATGTTCAGTTCACTAAGCTTTTCTGCATATAAGAGAGCTGTGATCATCCAACTCTCTCCGAACAGAAGAGGCAGAAGTCCAGGTCCCTGTCAGAGTGGCGTTCTCCTGCTAACACCGTCCCAGGCAGTGCAGAGAGCTGGATTGAAGGGCACTTGTTTATTTTAATAAAAGGGCACTTTTATTAAAATATGTATGGCAAATTACTAGTTATAAATGCTTTCATTTCTATTCGTTCCTTTGATGCTCTTAGCACTCCTGTAAGGCACACAGCGCCAAGATTACGATCCCCCTGGTGACAGGTGAGGAAACTGAGGCACACAGAGGTTGAATCACTTGCCCAAGGTTACACAGCTGATAAATGTCAGAGCCAGCGTAACCGAGGTTTTCCGCTGTCTCCCCACTGGGCCAAACTGTCTTGAAAAGCTGCAACGACCAAGATATGCCCACTGTGCTGTCAGGAGTTCTCGCAGCCTCAGGAACAGGAACCAGCAGTGACAGGAGGAGAGTGACCGCAGCCTCTAACCGCCCTGCAGCCGGGGAGCTTCGCTCTGCAAACAAACAGCAGCCTGGGAGTAATTCATCAAAGCAAATGAAACTTCCACGGCTCCGTTTTCATTCTGAAAGGAAGACTATTAACTCTGGCTTTTCAGTGACCACGGGGCCACAAAGGAAGCCAAAGACAGGTTGACTCGGGGTCCCTCTGCCACCAGGCCCAAAAGGACCAGCAGGTGTGACCTCTGGGGACATACAGCAGATGGTTCTGGTCCCACCATGCAGCACTTAATATTCAGCACGCTTATCAGGCCACCCAGGCAAACACGCAGGCTGGGGCCCAGGCACCTTCCCAGCCAAAGCAAACACCTCCCTCTCCCTGCCTGGGCTCTCGAATCTTAATTTAGCGCACAGCGTTGCCTTGGCTTCTTCAGGAGTGCTCATTAAGGGGAATTTGTGGCTGTCGGCTCGGGAGCAGGAGCCCAGAGAGGGCAATTTAACATAAGCCTCGCCACCTCTTAAGACTTCACCAGGGGCCAGGATGAATCTACTTGATTTAGGGTTTGTGGAACAGCGTGGAACGTTTAAATCCCTGCCAGGGGCACGTGTGAACAGGTATATAACCCCCGTAAGGGGCATCAGTCATCTATGGAGTCAGCTCTGCCGTTTCCAACTGCGAAGGACAGTTTTTACGTCTGAAGAAATAAAGTTAACCCCTTTCTAGAGGGCCTTTTTGTGTTTAATCTTGCTTAATCCCTAAGTTTGGAAGTATTTCCATCCGGAAAGGAACCTTGGTGTGACCCTCATAGCCATGAGTCTGTCTTCTCCAACAGGTGTTAGGAAGAGGTCCTGCCTCTCCCAGCCCCTCCAGCCCCGCTGGGAGAAACTCTCCAGCTCTCTTCTGTGTTCAGAAACTCTCCCGGGGAAAGAGAAAGACCCCCGAACTGGGAGGGAAACGGCCAGAATTCCAAGGCCGTCTCAGTTCTGTATGACGTTGGACAGGTCACCTCCCTGAGCCTCCCTCTCACTATCTGTCATGTACAAACCCCACCCTTGCCCAGGCTTGATCCTTCCCAGATAATATCCATTAAAGCCCCTCATCCATGCCCAGGCACCAAGGGATTATTAGCAGGGAAGTGGCCTCTGTGGTGAGAGCTCACCCAACACCATGAGGGGTGATTTTTTTTTAATGGCATATCTGTACCGTGCCTTCCATTCTGGGAGCCCATAGTAATCAAAATCCCAGTATAGACAGAGCTTCATCACTTAACTGGGGCCGTAAGTGAATGAGCTGGAAATGGTGCCTTTTGTGTTGAGGTCTGTGCGTGTGAGGAGCTATGTCTTGGAGCAGAGCGCTCTCTCAGCCCTATTCTGTAGCATTTCTTCCTAGGCCCCACCCCACCCACCCCCATCATTACTGCATGCAAGTGTGTGAGGGGCTCAGAGACCATCCTGGGTGGGAGATGGCTGAGACTCCGTGCTCCTCACCACCAGCAGCTTTCACAATCCTGGCCCAGGCTGCACATCAGCAATGCAGCAGGAACTTCAGACCCCAGAGCTCGTCAGCAGCCACATGCCCACAGGCCCCCAGCTCTTGCCCTGCGGGTTCTTGTACTAGAGAGACAAAAGCAGCAAGTCTCAGACCTGGCCAGGCATCAGAATCACCTGGACCCACCCCAGCGATCCTGACTTAATGGTTCTGGGCTGTGGTCTGGGCACCAGGATTTCTAGAGAGGGTCCAGGGATTTCCACTGTGTAGCAGAGCTGGGAATCACGAGTCCAGAGTGACTGGACTCCATCATGGGCTCTGGTGTACCTTGTCTTCTTACTTCCTGTTTTAAGATTCAATTCAGACAGGTCAGAATGTTTTAAAAATAAGGACCGTATTTGTTTAATTAAACAGCAAGGTCTGCTGGGCATCATGGCTCATGCCTGTAATCCCAGTACTTAGGGAGGCCAAGGCAGGCAAATCACTTGAGGTCAGGAGTTCAAGACCAGCCTGGCCAACATGGTGAAACTCCATCTCTACTAAAAAGAAAATACAAAAATTAGCCAGGCATAGTGACAAGCTCCTGTAATCTCAGCTACTCTGGAGGATGAGGCAGGAGACTCACTTGAACCTGGAAGGTGGAGGGAGCAGTGAGCTGAGATCTCACTACTGCATTGCAGCCTGGGAGGCAGAGGAAAACTCCATTAAAAAAAAACCAAGGCCAGCCAGAGGTCTTGCATACAGAATTAGAACTGAAGGACCAAGGGCTCACAGCCTTGAATTATTTCCAATCTCTTTGCACGAACTCAACATTCAGTGTGTCACCGAGAATGATGTCATCTTCCTCCGCAATATCAAGCCAACCAAGCCCACACTCTTCTCCCACTACCAGGTTCCTGTGGCCACATCTAGATGGCTGCAGCTGCCTGCTCACCCGTTCCCTGACCAGTCTCACCCCTCAGTCTCTCTGTCCACTGTAATTTTTTTAAACATTGTATTACTTCATCCAAGAATCTCATAAATTCTCTCTTGCTCTTATTAAATTAGCCAAGCTCTAAGCAAAATAACTGCATATCCGTCTTACCAGTTCTTATACTTTAACGTGCTAATGAATCGACAGGCTTGTCAAAATATAGATTCTGATCCCGTAAGTCCACGGTGGAGCATGCCTTAAACTCTGCGTTTCTTAAGCTTCCTAGAAATACCAGCACTGCTGGTCCATGGGCAGAACTTTGCGAATCAAGAAGCCACCTTGCTTTTTCTAGGTATCCCATCTGCTCTAGCAAGGAGAAATGTGAGGCCCAGAGAACTGATGTGACTTGTCCAAAGTCACACCGTGATTTGGGGACTGTCCTGGCTAAAACTCATGGGTTCTCAATCCAGAGAACCTTCTTTATGCCCAGCCATAGGAGGTGACAGGATTGGGGCCATGTGGTCAGGAGGAGCCATCCTGAAGTATAATTAATATCTGGAGCAAAAAGCGAGGAGAAAATCTCTCCGAGGAGTAGGTAGGATGTGGGGTTGGCTGGGTATGGTGGTGTAATCCCAGCACTTTGGGAAGCCAAGGTGGTTGGATCGCTTGAGCTCAGGAGTTTGAGACCAGCCTGGCCAACATGTTGAAACCCCATCCCTACTAAAAATACAAAAATTAGCCAGGCATGGTGGCAGGTGCCTGTAATTCCAGATACTTGGGAGGCTGACACAGGAGAATCACTTGAACCCAGGAGGTGGAAGTTGCAATGAGCCGAGATTGTGCCACTGCACTCCAGTCTGGGCAACAGATGGAGACTCCATCTCAAAAAAAAGAAAAAAAAAAAGAAAGAAAACCGTGGAGTAGGAAAACAGGCATCAGTCTCAGCTCAGAGAGGTGGAACTTCTACAAAGGGCAAAGGGACCCCTCCCTCCAGAGCTCCAGAGGCTGGGGTGTAAATGCAGCTCCTGGGAGGCAAGACACAGCTGCAGTGCCCAAGATCCAGGGGAAGTGGCTGGTGGCCTCCCTTCATCCCCATTCAATCCTGGGAAAAGTCAGAGTCAGCATGCATAGCCTAACCCAAAGCATCTTGTCTCCCTTTCAGGTTTGGGAAACAATTGAATTTCCAGGAAGTATCCAGCCATGCAAGGATGAAGTACAGATGAAGGCAGCACCCGTCACTTGCTCTGGCTTCAGAAATGATCTATGAGCTGCTGGGAGCAACTAGTGACTTGGGTTCCCATGGATTGGGCTGTGTTTCTTTAAGGATGCTGTCCTGGAGGGCTGGGGCTGACCATGACATCCTTCCTGTGGTTGCTGGAGCTGCTGGCAGGGCCAGGCAATGCCAGAGTGCTAGGGGCAAGGCGAGGGCTTCAGCTCACTGTTGTAGTGATGTTACATGCAGATCATTATAAACTTTTGAGAATGTAAAATAGCACCATCATAATATGATGTCAGGGGAAGCTCACACTGGTGGATGGTGGGGGGAATAATAATCGGTTATTTTTAGTGATTGCCAGCCCTCTCCCATGTCCCATGTCTGGCTTAAAAGCCCAGAAATGGCTGTGACAGGCCCGGGCAGGATGTCCAAGCCACAGGCAAGGCAGTGAAATGTAGGGCATCTGGAAGGCCAATCCTGATCTCCCAGACCACATCTTCCACCATCAGCTTCTTGGCCAGGATGACCTGGAGGCAGTGCCTGAACAGCTGTGTCTCCAGGGAGCCACCCACCCTGCAGAGTCTAAGGACATCATAGCACCCAGAGAACAGCGGGCAGCTCCTGAAGGCTCTGCTGAGACCTAAAGAGAGGGCACCGTGGGTACCTTGGGCCTTGCAGCCTTCACCCCACCACTTGGGGCTTTGCAGGATTTAGGCAGACACTCCCCACTTCCACAGGGAAAAACGTCACTGCCTGGGGTTCTTGTCTCCCCGGGCCCTCTCCATGACAGAGCCGAGGGAAAGTGGGCGGCCCTCAAGGAGTTTCTTGAAGAACTGTCTCCTGGGTCAGGGGGTTCCAACCCAGCCGCAGCCAGGGAGAGGCAGTGGAGATGAGCAGGGGTGGCACCTGGAAATGAAACTAGCTGAATGAAAGTGCTTGTCCACTGCTCCTGTACCTCTGTCGGGTAAATATAGGAGCTAGTGACCCTGGATGGGGAGCAGAGAGGTAATATAGTATAATGGGCTTGATTTTCGTTTTCCTTTTATAGGACGGGGTAAAAGGATCATGCAGGAGAAGATAAAACCATGACATTTCTGAGCTAGGCAGGCTCATCGAGCTCCTCTAATACACACCTCTAGTTTATGTAATCAGAAGACTAGAGTGGCTGGGTGTGGTGGCTCACGCCTGTAATCCCAGCTCTTTGGGAGGCCGAGGCAGACGGATCACCTGAGGTCAGGAGTTTGAGACCGGTCTGACCAAAATGAAGAAACCCCATTTCTACTAAAAATACAAAATTAGCTTGGCATAGTGGCACATGCCTATAATCCCAGCTACCCAGGAGGCTGAGGCAGGAGGATGGCTTGAACCTGGGAGGCAGAGGCTGCAGTGAGCTGAGATCACACCATTGCACTGCATCCTGGGCAAGAAGAACAAAACTCCGTCTCAAAAAATAAAGAAGACTAGGGTGAAGGGGAGACTCAGCATGCTCTTCTATGCTAGTTAGTGACAAATGTCCCCTCTTCAGAGGGCTTCCGCTGACCACCCTGTCTCGAGTCACCCCCTATTTATCCCCTATCCTGTTACCATTTTTTTTCTCCATCACTAGCTGACATTTTATCCTCCCAAACTTGCCTATTTTTGTAATACAAAATAGGCAACTCCCCATAATACTAAGAGCTCCAATGCCACAGGGACCTGTTTGTCTTGTTCATTGCTGGGTCTCAGGCACAGTCGCTGTTCAGTAAACAGTCTCAGTTCATGAGTGGACAGCCAGTAAACAGTCCATGAGTGGAGGAGCCAGAACCCAGATGTGTTTCTCAGGCTTGCGTCACTCTGACTTCCCCAGGGGTTTTAATTGAATCCTACTGGGGGAGGGGCCCCCATCTCTAGTCCACCCCTGGCCCTCACAGTTCAATGGAACATAGCCCTCTGTAAAGTCTGTAGAACCAGAGGAAGACCAAATTCTGATTCAAGAAGCTTCCCCAGGAGTCCGTGGGACACACATGTAAATGCACACACACACACTCCCTCTCTCAGGAGCCCTGAAGATGGCATGGCATTTGCCATGTCCCCCATGTAGCAGCAGCAGTGTTCCTGGCATGCCTTAGTGCCTTCAGCCCTCTAGAGCTGGGTAGCGTCTACTGACGTTTTTATTTTATTTTATTTCTTGCTTTTTTTTTTTTTTTTTTTTTTTTTTGAGACGGAGTTTCACTCTTGTTTCCCAGGCTGGAGTGCAATGGCGCGATCTCGGCTCACCGCAACCTCCGCCTCCTGGGTTCAGGCAATTCTCCTGCCTCAGCCTCCTGAGTAGCTGGGATTACAGGCACACGCCACCATGCCCAGCTAATTTTTTGTATTTTTAGTAGAGACGGGGTTTCACCATGTTGACCAGGATGGTCTCGATCTCTTGACCTTGTGATCCACCCGCCTCGGCCTCCCACAGTGCTGGGATTACAGGCTTGAGCCACCGCGCCCGGCCCTCTTTTATTTATTTTTTGAGATGGGGATCTCGCTTTGTCACACAGGTTGGGGTGCAGTGACGCAGCCATAACTCACTGTAGCCTGCAACTCCTGGGCTCACGTGATCCTCTCACCTTGGCCTTCAAAGTAGCTAGGACTACAGACATGCACCACCACATCTAGCTCATTTTTAATTTTTTCGTAGAGACAGGGTCTCACTAAGTGGCTCCGGCTGGTCTCAAATTCCTGGCCTCGAGCAACGCTCCCGCCTTGGCCTCCCAAAGTGCTGGGATTGCAGACATGAGCCACAGCACCGTGCCAGTCTTTCGACATTAGATCTCCCACTGAGACATCATCTCCTGGATCCAAAGGCCTTATTGACCGAGATGTGTGGCATAGCCCATGCAGGGTGTGAACCAGCCTCCTGGGGTAATCTCTTAAGACGGGAAAGGAAATAAAGAAGACAGAAAAACACACAGCCTGGGATCTGGGTCACTGGTGTCCAGACCATATGCAAAGTGTGTGCAGCAACTGGCCCAGGAGGCTCTTGCTCCAAACGTCCCGTCCCAATAGAGGCCCGGCCTCTGGTATGGACTCGTGCTTGATGGCAGTGCACCTTTGCCCAAAGTTCACTGACCTCTGCATATGGGAGAAATCAATGCATTGTTTGAAAAGAATTTCCAGTAATCCACCTGGGCTCAGTGGAGCCATGGATGACAAGAAGTATCTGAGTTCACTGTAAGCCAAAATATGAAGTTTTCCAAAATGTTTTCTGGAAAGCAGCATAGCCAGTGACTCCAGCCCAGTCTCTGCTAGAATTCAACTGGCTCTACCAATCCCTTGACAGGAAGTGGGCTGGAGGGAGGTGGGAGGAGGGACGTTA